GAAAAAACAGTAGACCAAAGTTTCCGCATTCCAACTAATGTTGTCCCAAATTTTTTTTGTTTTTTCTACACTGGTCGTCATTACCGGAGCATCTCCAATTGTAATTAACGATCCGCTTGAAAATTATGTAAGTTTTAATTATCTTTGACCTAACTGCTTGTTGCGCAATAATTTAACGACAATTTGCAGGCTAAAGCGTCTTTTTCTTGCTAAATTATTTTGAAAAAATGTCTTAAACATCCTACTCACTAAACCAATTGCAGCACATTAAAGTAAAAATTAAAAAAGCTACACCTGATTTGGATGTCCTGGTGATTGTCGATTTATTTATTCGTTTAGAAGTTACAAGAAACCAGAAGCTTAGGTATTAGAGCCAAACGCCAAGCTCTACGAGACCACAGCTACCCACTCTCCTTGTGGAACGATGGCCCAATCCCATTTACAATAAGCAGTAAACTTCGTATGCGCTTTCACATTATTTTCAAAAAATTTTACAAACTAATAAATCAAAGTAAAACTAAAAAAAAGAAAAACCGTTATTTGAACAGTCAAAGCCGTTATAATATTTTATTATTTTAGCTCCACATGCGGTCACAATAATCTTGAAATCTATCAAGTTTTGGCAACAGAACACCTGTATTGATTTTGAACAGAACGGAAAGGGAAAGAATGTCTTGGATTTTGTTAGAGTGAGGCTGCTTGTTGGTTTATTAGCTTTTAATGCTACATAGCATTAGTATATATTATCGTCTTATAACAGTGATAATTTCAGGGAACTGGTTGCTACAGTGCTATTGGAAGGGTATGGTTCCAAAAACGGCAAGATTTGTCTGTTGGAACTATATGTGAACACGTACGTATAAGGGCCTGCATTATCAAAATTATACGCTTCTAAAAACTCTTGTTTTTATTTGGAAGCCCAAATGAAATTGACTAAAATGCTTTTATCAAATTTTGAAACAATGAAAATCTTACGTTTAAGTTCCATACGGTGACACACGAGCTAGCACATGCTCTCGGGTTATTCCATACACAGAGTAGACCAGATCGAAACAGATATGTGATTATTCACGAAGAAAACGCGCTGGCAAGTGTTATTTTCAACACTTTTACACAGTAAATCTAGTTTGCTTCCACTTCTCTCAACAATTTTGTCACTTTAATAACGGAGGAAGGTCGGCGTTGTGCGTTTCAGAGAGGGCAACAGGGCAATTTCCGCGCGGAAGACCCAACTTCGTGTGTCACGTACGATATACCATACGAATATGGAAGTGTTATGCACTATAGGAATCACGAGTGTGTTCCAAGTGTTTCACAGAAATACAAAATTATATTGCTATATGTCCTATGAAGTAATATATTTCAGGTTTTCAGTAAATTCGAAACCTACTGTAGTTCCACGAGATCCGCTTCATGAACATACCATGGGAAGTGGAACTGGACCATCTTTTCTAGACGTTCTTCTGATAAACAAGCATTACAACTGCTTGGGTAAACCTTTTTAAGACCGAAACTTAGCGAAGCTACCACAAATTAAACTCATTAAGTTCATTCCATTAAAAAAAGCCAACTTTTTAAAGCATAACTTTTAGACCGTTGTGCCACGGTAAACACCGATTGTAAAAATGGTGGTTACCCACATCCAAGAAACTGCGATGAATGCATCTGCCCCTCGGGTTTTGCTGGAAGGTATTGCAACGAGAAGGTCAAGCCTTTCAACAATTGTAGAAAGAAAAACGTGTAGAGAGAGTCGTTAATCAGAAGAAAAGATTTATAATGATTCCTTTCACAGGGGTAACTACAAAAGAGAATGCATACGACTAATTTGACAGAATCTACTGATCAGCCTCTGTTAACGGGAGTGGAGACGCCTTCCAAGCACTATTATTTCTTTACTACAGCTTTTCCATTTCAGCAAAGTAGTGACGGTTGTGGGGAGATTCTGTATGCGAATTCGACGGTCTTAGAAGTTTTCCATCGAATGGGGGCACCCGGTACACGAGACGATATGAGTTATTGCTACTGGTGGATTAAGGTATAAATTAGTCCCACATTTCACATAAAACCTGTTTGCTCTTGATCTAATAGATAACTTAAAATATAACATTCACTACTGTGCAATATTACTAAAAAACCTTCAGACATTAGAAAACGAGCGTATTGAAGTGAGAATAATTTCATTAAATACCGCTTGTTGGGAAGGATGTCTTTTTGGTGGTTTGGAAATCAAAGCCTCGGAAGATAAACGTTTAACTGGTTACAGGTATAAACTGTAAAACAAAGTTTTTAAGTATTAATCCTGTTAGCAAGCTCCCTGTACACTAAGCACACCCACCGTTTTAGAAGTCTTGCTCAAATTTCAGGTTCTGTTGTGACGAATTTCCAAAAAAACCCATCGTTATCCCTGGAGGAATTCTGCCAATAATACTTTTCAATCGAGACAGTTTTACGTCTTTTAGTTTACAGTATCGATCAGGTAAATCTACAATTTCCAAACATCCTCGGTCATTTTTAGAACCTTTAAAACCAAAGTTAAAAGCGAATCCATCGAGAGCTAACAGAAAACATTTACTTCCTTTCCAGTACTGCAAACATTTACTTCCTTACCAATACTGTTTGAACGTGCATCCTCGCATCGCTCTAAGCTCTAATTTTTCACAAAATTTAGTATTAAGCTCTTTCAACTCTACATTTTGGTGTTGTAGACATCTTTCGTAAACCATTGTGTACGGTTCACATATTGCAGCAAATAAGTTCATCAAACGTTAACTTTCATTTCAGTACCTTCCGACTACCCAGCAGCTGAAAGTCAACTAACCAATTTTTTGGGTGACGACTCATAAAATGACAAGTGATGATCAGCAGATGGCACGATCAGAATCCGTACACTGTTGCTGGGCCAACACAGAGATAGTATTTCGGTAGAAGGCAAACATCACTTTCAAATATTTATCACTTGATTTGCTGACTGTCACGATTAGCAAAGTCAAGGAATAATTTTCTGAGACTGCTTAAAAATACCAAAAAAACGATATATCCACACTTCTCCAGTTTCCTCTTCGCTTAGATCCTGTATGTTTTAGTTCTTTTTGACCCTATCCTGCACTGATATAGGTTGATTCCGTCGTCTCTGTCTCAGTCCATTACCTTTGTCTACAAAAATTTCCAAGGACTTTAAGCGAAGCTGCTGTAGTTTTTTTCCCCGACATTCTGTGCAATTCTCGTTTGAAGAACAATTCACGGCTTAGCAGTAACAAAGCGGGGCTGTTACAGCTCAAAATTTTATCAAACGCATTTCAGTCTTTAAAGAGTTTGCATACTTTTCCAAATAACTTAGCTTGCTTCCATCCTAATGTACAAAAAACAACTCAAATGCTACTACAAAGCTAATTCCGGTCGCCATTCAAACAACTTTCAATTAATATGGTAACCGTGTAGAATGATCTCATTTTCTGCATCAACAAGCTGTCTAAACCACCTTTCTGTTTTAATAATTTGATTGTCATCTGGACTTTGCAGAATTACAGCGAAGCATGCAGTTCCACTAACGGTGAGCAAAAAAGAGCGAAAAATAAAGTATTTTTCGACAGCAGTTCCTAATTTCCTGCAGAAACCTCTGTTCAACCTTAAAACAGCGACTCAAATGGGCTGTACAACCTCTCATAGCTGAATCAGATAATCACCCACCTCCACAGTGCTTCTTTAAACTATCAATTTCTTAACGCTCTCATCATAAAAGCCCAACATCTATTTTTCGACCTACGACGAGCATTTTTCTATTTTAATGAGACTCTATCTTCACAACCCCAACTCAAAAAAACTTCCTCGTTTTCATGCAGCGATCAGATACGGCCTGTAGTACTAAACATGAGATAACAAGTGATTATATACAAACCGCAACAAGCAGAAATGCCGAATCGCACAAGTTTGCACCTCAACCTCTCAGATTTTTTTCATTTTTTGGCTACTTGTGGTACTTTATACCGGATTTTAAAATCAAAAAATTTTATTTCAAAAAGTGCGCTAGCGGCAAAAATAGACCGTTCTAAAGTGCGGAAAAAACCTCAATTCACTCTCGACATGGTCACCTTTGAAAACTTTTATTTTCCTTTATTCACAACAGAATTTTCTAATTTTTACTTATTACATTAGCAAATTTTATCCTAGAGTAAAGTGAAAACAGAAAATTCAAAACGCTTTTTTCCAAAAACGAACGTTTTAAATTTCTTGAAAAGAATATATTTTTAAAAAACATTTCCTACACAGCATATAAAAATTACAAAGTGCTGTCTTTTCGGCTTCAAAAGTTATGGTATGACTGGTGATAGTAGAGTGGAAAAAGCCTTAATTGAAGCAGCATTTTGACGCTTTCGCAGGCCTCAGAGCCTCCGCTTTAACTAAAATTTTATTTGTTTTTGTAGTATATATAATTCTTGTGAGACTTTTCAACTCTACTACTCCAGAAACAACTCCAGTAACGAACAATTAGTTAAAATTTGTTTACTTTTAAACAATTTTAAGAAATTTTTTTCATAAAAATTACTATTATGACTAATTTGTCGTTGTGTACCTCTCTGCTTGCTTATTGAACCTTTCTAACCTAGACATTTCACACTCGGTACTGTTTTTTGATTGCAACTATTTTTTTGCTACTTTTGTTTTCAGCGTTTTCTACTATGACGCAGTGAAATTTTTTACACGTTTGATTGGTGAATGTACTCGACAACACAGTGCTAGAAGTGCTGTGAAAATACTGGTATCACTGGTATTTATTTTCATTTGTTCGGAGCCTATTTGCAAAAGTCGTTCTGAATTAAGATTTAGACTGAAAGTGTCTCTTTCATGCCGGCCATCATTACTAATTTTCTCAGTATGCCTCCAAGACTCAAATTAATGCACTGCTGCAAAAATAGAGAAAAAACAACACTTGCAATTAAAAAACAATATCGAGTGAAATATTTGGGTTAGAAGGGTTCAATAAGCAAGCAGAGCCATGAAAGCAGAAAAAGTAGTCATGATAGTAATTTTCCCAAAGAAAAAATTTTGTGAAATTGTTTGAAAGTAAATAAATTTTGATTGTTTATTACTAAAGTAGTAGAGTTAGAGTTTACAAAAATTATACACATTATTACAGTTGATCAAGTTTTAGTTGAAACAAAGATTCTGCGACTTGCGAATGCGCCAAAAATGCTACTACCTTGCAATTTTTATTTGTTAAGCAAAAACTGTCTTTAAAACATATCTTTCTTGAAAAATTCAAAAAGTCGTTCTTTGGAAAAGCGTTTTGATTTTTCCTTTTTATTTCAATCTAGAATCAAATTTGTCAGAGTCAACGTATCTCAATTTTTCTGATTTTCCAGGAGACTGGCTTTCAAATGAATAGAAATGAGGAAAATTCGTTGCTAATAAAGAAAATTAGAAATTCTTAAATGTGTCCATTTCAAGGATCACTTGAGTTTTCTTTCGCACTTTAGTGCGGTCACATTTGCCGCCGGTGCACTTCCTGGGGCAAACTTTTTCAATTCTAAAATCCAGTATCAAGTGCTACAAGCAGACAAAAAATGAAAGAAATCTGAGAAGTCGAAGGTCAAAAGTGTGCAACTTGGCATGAAACAGCCCATATATATAGTTTTCAGGTACAAATCAGGAGTGTAGGGAGCAAAGAACTGACGAGCTTCTATTCACAAAAATACTTATTCGGTTCCACTTTCACTCACCACCAGCATTCCACATCAAGAACTCAGAATGGTAAACCGTAGAGAGGTCAAACGTCGTATCAAAACTCTCCCGGCACCTACCAAATGAAAGCAATCTCGTTCCCCACAAATTTCAATGTCACGACTCAAACAAAACAATCTTTTGGTTTTAACTGACAAGTTTGAAGAAACAGACTGTAACACAACACTCTCTCCCAACCTTCTTGGAAGACTTTCAATTATCAGTTTATTGAACAAAAGAACTGAAAAACAAATATGGATGTGGAAACAAAGCGCTGAAGCGAAAAAATTGGCAGTCAGTTGTACCTGTACGGAAATATAGCTTCAGCAAAAGAAATTATTCTCACAGTTGATTTCATCCTCAACAAAAAACCAATAAAAGAGTCTTGTAATTGTAACTCAGAAGGAAACCTCCTGGTGATGGTTCTTGGCCAAGACTTCAACATTGTCAGCAAATCGACGTCACCTTAAGTTAATCAAAAAATATGTGTGAAATCATCTCTCCCTATAAAGACGCTGCTCAAAAGTTCAAAATTACAATAAACTGCAGTCAAGTGAATAAATTAAGTAGTTCTAGATCTTTCTTTTGATAAGAAAAAATAGACATGGGAAGTGAACTTCAGAATAATTAGATAACCGTGCCAAGAAAACTGAAAAAATGTAGGTAAAATAGCTGTAAATAAGACTTTGAAACCAAATTACACTGAAAATTACTAAAGTGTAGTTGTCCATTAACAGACAAGAAAAGATTATGAGGAGTACAGGTAAGTCTATGCAGATAAGTAAAGATAAAAGTATAAAAAGTGTATTTTGGAAATAATATGGTATTGAGAACAAACCTGGAGAAGACAAATTCAAGTTACGGAGCAAGAAAAAAGCGTTGTGAGAATTTAAAGTCGTTGTACATTATACCCATTTATATAGAGTTTTCGACTGAATATGAAAGTTTTCCAGTTCCCAAACAGTGAAATTACATTTGCTTTTAAGACAACGGCATGATAAACGAAGTTTTTATAATAAAAATTATACATTAAAAAATTAGACTATCAAAAATGAAATTAGTATAAAAACAGAAAATAAATTTAGTTTGCGTACTAGAAAACTCTTGCCTATGTGAAGAAAAGGCAAGAAGGTTTGTAGAAGTGGCATTAAACACTTTCGAAACCCAAGAAAAGCAAGTTACATCTTCAAATCGTCAGCGTACTTCAAAAATAAAATAATTTACATCGATGCAGTCGGTTCAGGCTGCGCTTCGCCCTGATGCGTAAAGTCACGGGCCATTAAGCATGCAAAAGCAGTCATCACCATCTTTGACTTGACCTGTAAAAGCCGCCACATGTGGAAAAAATACAAAAATTGAAACTATATAAGTAATTCCTCCTTGTTTGAAAAATAGCTTTGAAAGTTAGAAATATTAAGATAAAATCGGTAAAATTATCTTTTACAAAATTACAAAAACTCACTTCCACTATATCCTCTGGCAAAGCATAAATTTTGGCCCCAATCTTGCGACCCATTGTGATTGCATATTTAGCGTTAGCAAGATAGGCCTATAAAATGCATAACCGCTATTCAACTGAAGAAACTACATAACATTTCTATAAAGCGTAGTTAATAGTAGAGATTGAGCTGCAGCGCAAAGACTCCACCTACCGCCTCATCTTTCTGCGTTTTAAGCAAACTATAGTCAATCGAACCAGGCTGGATGGCATCGATTAGATCAATGATAGCATGTGCATCACAAATTGATGGGTCTTGAAAACTGCTGATTTTTGACGACTTATTGGCTCCTGCCAGCTAAAAACAAAAGACAAAAAAAACCAAGGGTAATATATAATCAAAACTGAAGTATAACTGGTAATAAATTTAGGCGCAATTACTTTCTTGTTAGCCCACTCAACAATGTCTTTATCAGTAGCTAATGTGTCTCCGCTTTGAGTGCACTGAGCAAGAATGGCAAGTGTGTATGCACGCATCAACTGCCAGACCAATGCTAAAAACGATAAATTTAGTTAAAAAACTTTTCTTTAACCTCGACTTAAAAGAATAAAAGAATATAAAAGTTAAAAATAGCTGAAGTTTTAAAGGATAACGAACAGCTAGAAAAAGAATTCCACAATGCAGAACGTCACCCAGAGTTCATTTGAATTTTCAAAAACTTTACCGAGGGTAAGCGTTTGGCACCCATCGTAGATGTCTTTACCCTGAATACCAACCAAAGAGAATTTAAGCTGCTTCCCCAGCTCAACAGCATAGTTACAATTTTGAATTTGTTCCATCATTCCCTTCAACTTTGAAAACACTTTCACCACCTTCTTCCAGTCAACGACTCCTTTTCGAATAATTTCATACAGCTGTAAAGAAAAAACTTAATTTAACACAGACTAAGATATAAATATAGACCAAAAATACGAATCAAAAATTATAAGCAACATACTCACTTGGAAAATAATCAACCCGTTTGCCAAATCACTATACAGCCAATTAACATATGGATTAACACCCATACTGTTCATCCAGTTACGATACATTTTTTCTTCACGAGTCTCCTCTATCACTTCGCCCTCTACAAAGAAAACATAATAAGACTTCTTAAAAAGCTGTAACTCTGAAGTTAAATTACAACATGTAAATAAGCAGTTTAAATGTTACGTAAAAGCTTAACAAACCTAGCTCATCTGCACCAGGGTCCGGCAAAGCAGGATACTTATTGAAAAGGTTAGCTACAAAAGCAAGATTAAGCTTGTAATGCCCATTTGCAACATCGTGTGGAGTAACGAATTCCCTACAGCCAATCTTCGCCGCTTCATTCAACATTGCTCCAGCTCGTTCTACATTACCCTTAAAAAATTATATAAAATACCAGGAAAAATTCCGCTCAAGAACTCATCCAAATATATAACAACAAACCCGCTTACCTGAACATTCAAAGGAGCTAAAGTAACGCCGGAACCTTTAGGTGCAACTTGGTGCAGTAAGTAAGTGTAAATTTGAGAATCAACAATGTCAGTAGTAAAGTTCGTACATCGCAAAGGAACGTTGGCCTAGAAGCTTTAATTGGTTAAAGTTGAAATTTGTAAATATAATCACGAATATTCATTGCACGACAAAAAACTCGTACTTTCCGTCATCAAAAGCCTCAGTAAAATCGAAAATAAGCAGTACTTTCTGCAAATAATCGTGCAGAAGCCCAGAAATATTCCGAAATTGCCGAAATAACTCACTTTTGTCATATGGTAATTGACCCAACGAATCAATATATCTTCAGGAGAAAGTTTACGCAAATCATCCAAGGTTTCACCCTCTTGGAGCAAACGAAAAAGTCCCGGGACATGAATCAAGTCAATGCAACTGAACAACCCAATCTAAATCAAGCAGTGAAAAACGGTCCAACAAAACGACCTTGAAGTGCCATGCAACGACAATAGGCCTCAAACAGAACAACAAAAAACAGATTATAAATTTCAGTACATGACAATTCAAACAAAAAAAATTTCGCATATAAAGAACGAAGCAGGAAGAATAAACCATCTGCTTTCCATGCTATTACCCTAATAATTTGCCAAAGAAGGCCCAAAACAAGATGAGGAGTTCCCTTGCTGAGATCATGGCAGTCAATGTTTATAATATTGCACCCAATAGCTTGAGCTGAGTTCAGAGCCAGTGTTAAATTTTCCAATTTCGTGTATGTATTTAAATTTTTTTTGTTGATTGCACGTTCATCAATGGTATCCGGAACAGCCATATTTACCAGTTTACTTAAATGGCAACAAAAGATTACACACAGATTAAAGTCATGAAAGTTTTTATGACACATTAATGAGTGACAATTTTTTGAGAAGTACTCCACAAAATCAGATTGAGACAGGCATCCTTTAGTAAATCATAGTAGACTTCTATATCTCAAACAGAAAAATTTTATTTAGCCATTAATAAAATTGAGCTTTAGAAAATTTTTGTTCATCCATAAATAAGATAACTGTACCAAAGTATCAAGCCGTCCTGTATTTTCGAATATAGTTCGTGGTTTTCGGTAGCAACAGGCAGCAAGCGTTTTAAATCAGCGTCCTGCGTTAAACTACTACTTATCCAGTTTGAAAAAGCAACTTCCTCCTTAAAATTTCCGGATAAAAAAAAAACAAAACATCATCTTAAATGAAATATAAAATAACTGTAACCCACTAAAATAGAAAAAACACAAAACCAAGACAACCCAAGAGCTGATAACTAAAAGGGTAATCAGCCGCAGCACCTGTATTACATGAGTGAATTTTGTTTCTGTATTATTAAATTTTATAAAGAACATCCCATTTTATAAAAATAATTTCAAGTTTATTCTTTTTAGGCGTTCTGGAAATACAAATGAGAAAGGAGGAGATATCTTAAAATAATAACTCACTAACCTCAACTCGAATGGTGTGTACAATCCCTTCGTTGCTCTGATCAGAAGTACCCTTCACTTTGTAAGTTCCTTCTACCGTACCAATACTGTGCTTCCACTGGCTAACTGGTTTTTGTTTTTCGCTTTCCAATTCATTATAGAGAGTTTGAAAATCAGAAAATTGCAAACTGGTTGGATTACCGAATCGACCAAGTAAATCACGGATCTAATTATTCAAAGAAATTTTTACCAACGTAAAACTCAAAGAAAGACAAAAATGTTATTAGTTTAAAAAATTTACCTGATACCCAGCCAAGGGAATGCCGACGCTTTTCAGTGCTTCTCCAACATCACCGGCTGGAATTGAACCACTGCCGTCCACACTGACCTGTAATTCCAAATCAACACCATGTTTATGGGAATTCAAATAACCATACAGCTTGCGGAGCAAAATCAGTGCCTAATAACAATATTAAATGATGATTCTTATTCTACAGACAGGAAAATTCAAACTACTAGGAGAACACAACATTCTGACAAATCTAAGTCTTTTTTATTTGTTTCTTATTCGGAATGTTAGCCATAAGCGAATAAGTTGAGGAACACTCGAAATTACCGAAGGGTACTTTTCAGCAAGTTCCGCAATCTGTTCGGGAGAGAGCGTAGCCATGTTATTGGTCGAGACCCGATCGATTGGCAAGACTAAAATTGATACTGTTGAGTTCCATAACCAACAAAGATTTAAAATCTCCAGACTTAATTCTGAGAGGTCGACGTTCCCAAAATCAATTTTGTACAACCAGTTACACAAAAACAGAATGCAGTTCAAAGGAAATTCTTAAACGACAAACACCTATTTCATTATCAACACACAGCCCACAGCTAACCAAAATTCCAAGACAAAAAAAAACTAGTTTCAGAAGCTCAAAAATGACAGTCTTTAAAACTGCTTTTTTCTATTTTTAATGTTTTTCATTATCAAAACTCAGAAAAGCTTTCACTTATAAGTAGCATTCACAAAACGGCGAATTGAACGACAGGAAACTCGCCTCTGGAAGCAACAAGAAATAAAAAAAAAAATATTTGTTTTTCCATGTGACAGTTCGAAAAAATTTATGTTTAGTTTAACGTAAGAAGAACGAGCATGCTTTGATCTCACTTTTTTTGTGCAGCAATCGCCACTCTTACCCCAGTCCAGACAGAGTCTTCAGTGGCGATTACTTCACTACACCCCAACAATTACCTAAGGTCAAAATTGAAAGAAATAGCTAGAACACAAACGTTAACCGCAACATTCCGCGAACCTTTTGCAAAGAAATATAACCGTTCAAGAGGTGACAACCGTACAGGCGCTAGAAGCCTACATGAAATGTGGTCGCTCATAATCCTACTTTTACGCTCAAAATTTCAACTTGCTTTCGAAACACTGATGGCTACATGAGACTCCCCATTTTTTTAACCACTAATTAGAACCACTAACTGGAATCTCGATATCTGAGTTATTGAAATCTTATTATTGAAGATTTTTCAAAGCTGCTTTAACTTACTAAGGCATAAGGTAAACAGCCTAATTAGCTCAAGGTTTAAATAAAAAATAAACCAGCCAACATAATCTTATCAGTATATCAGTGAACCGCGTCAAAGCATTATTAGATGCTGAACTGCCCAATTGTTTCCATTGTAGCGTTATGCGATATTTCATAAATAATAAACCGTTAATGAAACAGATAAATTACATTCTGCAGTTAACATCAAAGCAGTTGAAGGTTACAAGCCTTTAGAACTGCTGACACATTTTCCTTACGAAAAAAATGTTGTAAGCATAGAAAAAGTAACATGTTCAATGAAGAAAAGAGCCGTAACAAAACTGCTGAAGGTTAACGAATGACAAGTTTACAACGGTCAAAAAGAACATTTGAAAACTTTTTAAATAACAAAAACCACTGCTTTTCTTCTGAAAACTGGTACTTTCACTTGAATACGTATAATCAACCACTAATGTCTTAGAAATGTGCATATATATACATTGGGCAATAAATATCAACAACACTTAACCCACCCTTTTCAATTCCTGCGCCCTCCTTAGTCCACCTACCCATAAAAATCGACAAAGTAAACTTTTTTTTCGACAAACAGTAGTTCTACCACTGTTACTGTAGTTTCCCAGGCAAAAAAATCAGACCCATTTAGAGTAAAAGTGACAAATTAGATAAAAAAATCACAATTTCAATTAAATCATTTCCAATTCATCCAACAATTGATCCATACTGTACGTAAAATTTCAATAGCCGCATTCACCATAGTAATGCTACATTATTCGCTATTTAATATTTCATTTCTCGACAATTTCTTTATCCCTAACTGCAAGAAAAAACAGCAATTACAAAACCAAAAATTATGTTTGAAACAAGCAGAAAAAATAAACCAAATCTCCAACTTTATGCACTTTCAATAGAGTATTACAAGCTAATAAGAATTATTATCACTATTTTGAACGGCATTCCATCAGCACTCCTTATCTAAAGCAGAAGCAACAATAGAAACCTGTAAAACCAAATACCATCGACAACAGCATCTCAACAATTCAGTATTTCCCAATACGTTTACAGACAAAAGGCAACGGTAACAAATTAGAATTACTATAAAATATTCATGATTTAACTACCAGCGAAAAAAATTCATTTGTTAATCAGATTACAATCAACTTCAATACACCAACAATAACATTAGTTGGCCGCTTTATGCGGAAGAAATCCAAGAAATAAAGAAAACAAGTCATTCGAAACCAAAAAAATTGAACCGTCCCCGGTATTCAAAGTAGAACTTTCCTGTGGTACCACCCAAACCAAGACCTTCATTGAAAAAAAATATTCCATCAAAATAACGCTAACGAATAAACGCTTTAAGTTTATTTCAGTTCTAATAATCATTGCTCGTAAATTTGTGAAAGTTCCCTTGTTTACTGCTATACGTAAAGAATTCTTCTAAAAAACTCATTTTTGGGCTCAAAGTTTCTGTGCTTTCCCACAGCTAAACGCGTCATTAAACCCCTTCCACAAAAAAGTAACGACAATTTTTCAAAGAAGTCAAAGTCAAGTAAAAACTAAAAAACCTCTTGACTAGAGATTTAATATGACTTCCCTAAAACTACAGACCATTTAAAATAAAAGTTGTATATAATCGATTAGTGTCAAAGAGAAATTACAAACTTTTACAAAACTGCTCAGTATTTTCTCCATTTTACAAGTGATTCACCAAAAGACAAGGCCCCAAAAAATTCCCGTGATATCAGTTCAAAAAGAGAAAATACGAATCATAGCTGTGCACAAAAGTAGTCACCATAACGATCCAGAAATAAAACATCAGCAGAAAAATTCCAGCCTAAAGATAAAGAGCCTACTTTTAAAAACTAACAGCACGAAGTGAAAGGCTAAAGGAAAAGCCAAAGGTTGAAAAAAAGGAGGAATGTAGTAATCAACAGAAAGATTTTCTGCAGAACAAGTATACTGATTAGGGTGACATTAATCGGTAGAAAAAAAAAACATTCCTATAAAAACCCATTCATGTTCTCTTTTCTCTCATCAAAAAACCATAAAAATCACCTAACTTTACCGACATTAATAGTCATTAATCCTATAGCCTAAATATTTATCAAAGAGAGAAGTAAAAGTAAATAAGTAAATAAAAAAATAAGTTATTCACGCCAAAATCATCTCTGCAACAGCAAAAAGAAGTGAAATAAAGTAAGATATAAAAAACTAAAATTCAAAAAACTGAGCTTTCTTGATTAATAAATAAGAATATCTAATAATTTAAAAATTCTTTTTTGATAAAAAAATGAGTAATCAAATTTTATGTTACAGTAATCAAAGTGCAATTTTAAAATAGCCCTTAAGTTTCATTAATAAAAAAAAAAACCTGTCCTACGCAAATCCTTCAACAAATTATAACTATTATTACTGCTGAAACCTTGTGAACAATAATCAGACAAAAAAATTAATTTATATGGCATTACTTTCCAATAACAAATAAAAGATGTCACCGCAATTACAGATCAATGATGGAAAACAGAACAGCCAAATGGCCTCTCTAAACACTGAACCACTCGCGAACTTCCTACAAAAAAAAAGCTCCAATAAGCAAAAACTTCAGTAAAATTAAACTTTGAGTAATTAAACGTAATAAAAAAAATTAATTAACTCACAGCTAAATAAAAAAGCAAAAATTCTTTGAACACATATATATATATATATATATATATATATATATATAT